CCGCGCCGGCTCCCGGGCCGCGGCCTCGCCGATTGGCCGGGGGCGGGGCCGGGGGCGGGGCGGCTGCTCCCGGGCCGGACGGGCGGCTCCGAGGCAGCGGCGCGCGATGGAGCTGAGCGAGATGCTGTACAACAAGTCCGAGTACATCGAGACGGTGCGTGCGGGGCCCTGCCGGGGCGGAGGCCGGGCCGCGGGGAGGCGGCCGCGGGTGTGGCGCGAAGGGGCCGCGGCCCGGCCCCGTGGGGTGGGCGCGAAGGGGCCGCCGCTGCAGCAGCAGCAGCCGCCGCCTGGAGAAGGCGTCCCCGCCCGCAGCCGCGGAACTGCCGCCTCTCGCCCGGGCTGGGCCCCGGGGCCCTCCCGCCGCCGCCGCCGCCTGCGGGCTCCCTCGGAGCTTGACGGGGGCGCGTGGTGGGCGGGGGGCGGCCCCCGTGCCGCGGTCAGCGCCTCTCTGTCGTTTGCTGCAGGCTTCGGGGAACAAAGTGAGCCGGCAGTCCGTGCTGTGTGGGAGCCAGAACATCGTGCTCAACGGCAAGGTGAGTGCCCGGTTCCTTCGGGCGGGACGTTTCGCAAGCCCGGAGCAGCCTCTTAGGAGTGGCACTGAGACTGGTTATTAGAGGTGGTTTCGAGGACTGCTGCTGTGGAGATGTCAGCCACGTTCAGGCATCGGTGGCGGATTAGGAGGTGCCAGAAGCCCGCTTTTCCCTTACTCACATTTGGTGACTTGTTCCCAAGCCAATTTCCTGCACCTCTTGGGTTCACACTCTTACCTGTGGGAGGATCTGTGGAGTTAAGGACTTGAAGCGGTATGAAGAGAAAGCTTATTCGTGCTCGCAGAAACTCTGAGATGAGTAGGCAGGGGAAGGAATAGAAGGAAAGGCAACATAGGCTGATTGCTTTTCAACTGTTTCCGCTCTGCAAGAATCTCTGGCAGGTGCCTTTGGGCTTCCCATAGGGACTGTTGAGCTCTAACAGCCAATGTCAGAACCATAAAGGCCTCTCCTGCTTCAGCACAGCAAAATAAAGCTTTAGCTGCAGTGATGCTTCTTACCTCTTTAGACAATTGTCATGAACGACTGTATTATTCGAGGAGACCTGGCAAATGTGAGAGTTGGACGACACTGTGTTGTGAAAAGCCGAAGCGTCATCCGCCCTCCTTTCAAGAAATTCAGCAAGGGGTAAGTAAGAGATGCTCTGAGCTAGTTGGCAGGACTTGTGTGAAGCTGAATCTTGAATTCAGGGAAAGGGTTCTTCCATGGACTTTGCAGTTTTAGACTTGGTAGTTCCGTTGTTCAGAGATGGCATGATTCCTTTTCTGTTTACTTGCTGGTTTGCTTGTACATTTAATTAGATGAAGGCAACAGTTATTTGTAGGAGATGGTAGAGAAGTAAGGAATTCTAGCATAGCCTTGACATGAAAGAAATTTCCTTTTTACTCCTCTTCACTCCTGGTAGATCAGTTAGAAGTACATAGTTTTTATTTGAGTTAATCCTGCCCATAGCTGCCTGAGTCATATAGAAAGTTGTAGGCCCTTTTAGTGCCACAACTTGTATAAGATTATTCCTTAAGCATCACAGAAGTTGTGCTGCCAAGTACAAGCACAGCCTGTGATTTTCTCTCCGGGGTATTCGGGGTCGTCTTTCCTAGTCCCAGGAGATGCCGCTAGGCTTAAGCCTGGCGGGTGCCTGTCTGCTGAGCTACAGCTTTCCTTGAACGATCTTCAAGCAAGCAAGCCGTGCCCGCCCCCCTTGCCTCACCTCCCCTTGCTGCGCCCGCCCGCCCAAGCTGCACCACGCCCATGCGCCTCGCCCCCACCTCAGCCCACACGCCCCACCAGCGCCCCCTTTCCGGCCCGCGCCCAGCACCAGCACCTTTCAGCTGGCGTCCTGGTGAAAAAGTTTGAGGACCCCTGCCCTAGATGGTGCCAAAGGGTCACAAAATAGACGAGTTAGAGCTGACAGCCCTGTTGGCCCCATCCAGCATCCAGTTCATGGCAGAATTTAGAAGCACAACATCTCATGATCTGATTTTGGTTTTCCCTATAGTACAGGGTCGATATACACTGCATTTTGTAAATAGTCACCTGAAAGCAGAATGTTATATGTTAGTTTCCTAAATTTGGGGAAGGTTCAGTGGTTTTCTGAAGCACTGAATGTATGAATTTATGAATGGTGTGTGCCAAGTTGCAGTGTACTACAAATGTTATCTAGTGTAAATCACACATACAAAGTGGTACATACATTTTGTTAATCAAGCAACACTGCAAAACCTTTCCATGTTCACAGCAGTCTTCTACACTTCTTAGAGTGTTCCTTGTACGTTTTGAATGAGTTGTTCTCAACTGATAGTCCAATGGTGCCCCACTGGGGCCTGAGTCTGCAGGAGGCCAGGCAGAAGTCCCACAGGCGAGGTCCAGGCCCGGCGAGGCAGTGGTGGCCAACAGCAGCACCAGAGGACCAGCTGGAAGGCAACACTGCAGCGCTTCCTCCCCTTTCACTTAATATAAGGGTGGAATAAAATTGTCAAAAGCTGTCTTCAACCTCATGAAAGCCAGAGTAAATTTCCCCTTTGCATTTTTCTGCAAGATGGGGAGCATTGCACAAGGGCTGGACGATGAACCGTTCTCTCTAAACGCTGCTTGAGAATAAGTAAGCCTTCGAGGTCCCAAAAAGGTGTTCAGTCTGCTCCCTATTTAACTTCCACATAATGCACAATAGGGGAGTGGAACCCTAAGGGCGTGGAATGGGCTTGCACGGGAGGTGGTTGAGGCCCCATCGGTGAGGGTGTTCAAGATTAGGCTAGACATGCACATGGCAGGCATGTCGCAAGTGGAGCCGGCTGGAGCCGGGGGTCAGACTAGATGGCCCGGGAGGCCCCTTCTGACTCGCTCTGTTTCTATGTCCATGTAATTCTCCAAGTCATTGCCTGCCAGGAGCTTTTTAAAATAGTTAATGCAGTAGCTGGGAGGTTACCTACCAGAGCTGTTGTAGGAAGAAATGAAGGAAGAAATAACGATGCCTAACTATATTCATTTAATAGACTTGTTAGGAATCCTCCTAAAGATGATAAATTAGGGCGCAGTGTATATACAATTACAATTCCTTCTGAGGAAGGATGTGAGTGAAAGGTGAACCCATCTGGATCCATGAAGCTCCTAAATGGTCCTTCTAAATCTGGCCTGAAATTCAGTAATTTGGACTTTGAGATCCAAAACAAAGAGTTCCTGAAATCAGCCATCAAAGCAGTTATAGAATCATTATTAAGAGAAGAATTTAAAAGTAGCAGCCACTGTTCTGATTAATGTTTGTAATGGAGCAGCAAAACAGTTTGGTCTCATTTAAATTCCAAATAACAGAGGGAAAGATTATATAACTAGGACTTCTCATAACAAATATAGGAATTGCTTGTGATTCATTTATTAATTTACCAACAAACAGACCTGACTTTACATGGACTAGAAAATCCCTAATTCTCTACAGAGAAATTTGCTGTCCAAAATCTAGAGCAAACCTGGGATTCTTCCGCCACAGCCGCGAGTGGTGCAGTGGGGGAGGAGGCACGTGAGCCATGGGCCCCATGCTTTGGACCCTCGTCTGCGTGCTCCAGTGGGGCGGGCTCAGCTTCCATGTGGTCTGGAGACAGAGACTTTGCTGTAGTCTCTTCTGCTCTTTCTCTGGAGTTGATGCCAGCATCCCCTTCAGCCTTGAGTGCAAAGTGAACACCATTACCCTGGGGGCAGTGTGTGATTTGGCTTCCCATGGCTGTGACATGAGGAAAAGCGAGGTGGAAGGAAAACAGCAAGGGCTCCAGTTGGTGGTTCCAGAAGTGAGGACTTTGGGAAGGATCCAGGGAATCCCACATGGCTGGCAGGAATTCCTGGGGATATTCAGGTTGACTGCCCCGCCCCTGCAGTGGAACCGTGCCAAGCTGTCCTTGGTTCTGGGCCCTCCATAGCTTGGTGTGGGGCGGCTGGAGACTGCTGGTGTTTGCATGCGCGTACATGCCCCTTCTTTCCACAGGGTTGCTTTCTTCCCACTGCACATTGGAGACCATGTCTTCATTGAGGAGGACTGTGTTGTTAATGCAGCTCAGATTGGCTCGTACGTTCACATAGGCAAGAACTGCGTCATTGTAAGTACGTTCCTGAACCGCCCGGGCCCACCAGCTCCCTCACGTGTCCTGCCAGCCCAGTGCATGCGGCTTCAGGCCACGAGGTTGGGTGGGCTGAGGCCAAGCTTGTCCTGAGGCGAGTCTCGTCATCTGGGGTTCTGTTGCAGCGGCGATTCCACAGTTTGCAGCTCAGATTCACTCCCGTGGAGCTTTGCAGCCACATCTTGGGGTCTGGCTGTGGGGCTGGGGGCGCTGACTGAGTATGTGTCAGTGATTTCAAATTGTGAGTAGCAGTGAAGAGCTAATTGCTGCGGCTTCCTTGCTGAAGTGGCATTTGCCCAAGAGCAGGCGCTTGAAGGTTGCCCCGAATAGCTCCTTGTTCCTGAGCTTTTGACGAGGGAAGAGTGACTGGGGCATTGGAGTATGTGGGGACATCTGTTATCCCATTGCAGTTTGAGAAAGAGGAGAGGCTGGTTCCCCTAAAATGCATCTTCTGCTCCAAACTGCATGCTGCATTCCCTGTTCTGAGGGTCTCCAGGAGAGTCTTCCTGGTAGGAATGGCTTCCCCCCAGCCACAGACGCAGTGCAGAGTTAGTTCTCCATCTGGGCAACCACACGAGCTCAGAGGATGAAGCCTCTTGCCAGGGACGTGACTCAGTGTCCTGGCACCAGCCACACTCGCCCCTGTGGCTGAGCAGGCCTGCTTCCCAGGGCGCACACGTGCCCTGCAGAGGCTCCTGCGGGCCAGCCAGAGGGCTGGCATTAGCGGCTCCTCCTGCCGTGGGGAAGGGCGCTGGGCAGGTTCTGCAGGACAGCCTGGGGCTTCCCCAGGTCTCCTGGCTCCTTGGAAGGCCACTTGGAGCACCCTGCTCAGTCCTCTCCCACCCGGCACTCTCTGCACAGCATGCGCCTCTGAGGGGACCGTTCCGGGCAGTAGTGGGGACGTGGCAGCCCCTGCAGCCGCCGCCGCCTCGTCCTCTGTACGCGACATAGCCGAGCATTTCCCTCCGTTCAGACTCGCAGTGGTGCGGCCCCACCACAGAGCGCGGATCCGTTCAACCCCGCTCGCTCGAGGCCCGTGCAGCCGCTTCCGCGGGTGGGGGAGCCCTGGGCCTGCGGTGCCGGTCTGGAGCTCCAGCGCAGGAGTGGGCGGTCATCAGAGGGCCCCCTGCTCCCGGCTGACGTGCGGAGTGTCCCTTCAGGGTCGCCGGTGTGTCCTGAAGGACTGCTGCAAAATCCTGGACAACACAGTGTTGCCCCCAGAGACGGTGGTCCCGCCTTTCACCATCTTTTCAGGCTGCCCAGGTAAAAAAAGGGGGGGGGAGGACTGTGCACCCGAAAGGTGTGCCTGTCAAGCGACGCATCGGGGCCCACGGAGTGGGACTCGCTGCTTTTTTCCTGCTTCCTCCCCAGGGCTCTTCTCCGGGGAGCTCCCGGAGTGCACACAGGAGCTGATGATTGATGTCACCAAGAGCTACTACCAGAAGTTCCTGCCGCTCACCCAAGTCTAGTGCTCTCCAGCCCCTGGCCCCCTGCCTCAGGCAGCCTCCCTGCGTGGCTGTGCCTCCCTGGAGCTCTCCAGGTGCCGCAGCTGACCGGCGGGTTCTGCTCGGAGCCTCCTGCCAAGCTGTCCAGCTGTGTTGTGCACCCCCCTCCACACTCCCCTCCTCCGTCCTGCCCTGCTGCTCACTGTCCAGGTGGTTCCGTCCGGCACCGGTGGGCATGGCAGTTTCCTCTGGGCCAGCAAAGCCGTGCTTCTGACCAGGAAGGACCGAGCCTGCCGCAAAGGCCCTGCCACGCCATGTGTCGGACTCTGGCTGTCAGACCCAGTGATGATCCATGTGTGAAAGAGGAAGATGGAGCAGTCTGTGGGGAGGGGAGGGGGGGGGAGGGGAGGGGAGGGGTGCTCACCCTGCAGTGGCCGCGGTTCCATCCCTTCCTCCCACAAGCAGCTCTGATTGTGTCAGCCACGCTGACGGCATCCCTGCAGGGCCGCTTGGCACACACTGTCCTGCCTGCAGCCAGGTCTGCTCCATGTCCTGTGATGCCCTTTGTGGAACGTCGCGTTCTGCCACCCCCTTGTCTCCCCTGGGCTTGCTGTTCGAAGACGTTCCGGGGTGGAGAGTTCCCGTGGCTGCGTCATCCTTTGGGAGCCTGGGAGCCTGGCTCAGATTCATCCCTCCGGGGGTTGCCTGGCCTTCCGATGGTTGGCCCTCTCCCTCCCCGTTTCCAACGGCAGCTGGTCCAGGCAGAGGGAGAGCGGCAGTGCCACGCAGGTGGTGGCGCTTGGGAAGGGGTCAGGCATGGCTGTGGCAGACGGTGTGCCTGCCAGGGAGTCACAATCCATACAGAGCCGGCTGCTGTTCTGCATGGTTTCCTCCCGCAGGCAACGGCCTTGCAAAACCAGGCCGAAACAAAGCGCCCGTGTCCACCTTGAACGAAGCGGCCTCCTCAGCTGCACCGCCGTGCCAAGCTGAGGGGGCAGGGAGAAAGGTATGCAGGCGCCTGCGGAAGTGGCCCGTGTGCTTCCACTGGGCAGGATCTTGCGCCGTGAAAGAGCCGGTTTCCGTCTGCTGGATGCAGAGTGTCTTCCACTCGGTGGACCAGCCCATGCGTTGCCTGCCACTCTTCACACAGTGTTTGCTGGTGCTTTTCTCATCCGTGGATGAAGCCAGCACCCGGCGGCTGGTTTGGCTTCACGCACCTGTCTTGCTGCCACCCGACCACTTGCTGGATGGCGGGGTTCCTGCACGTGGGCGGGGGGTGCCCTCCACGCTTCCCGTGACGCGTACAGCTCTGCCACATGTTAATGAGCTATGCGCTGTTCAAATGCAAATGTTTGTAGCAATTCTTGTTAGCTGCAGAGCCGATTTGGTTTATTTAAGTTTTCCTGTACACAGATTAAAATTCTCTTAAGTGTAGCAAGCACTTTGCGAGTGGTGGCCTCCTCCAGCGAATCCTCTCCAGCACAGCAGCATTCTTTCTTCCTGTCAGGTGTCATTCGGTGTCACAGCCGCTGTTCTCAGGACTTAAGCATTCACTAGAGGTTCCTCTGGCTGGGAGCACCTGAGAGCTTAAACCAACCCAGCGGGCAGGATGGCTGCACAACCGCCAGTGCCCAGAGGGTCCGCCCAGACAGATGGAAACGGGCAAAGAAGGGCTTGCGCGGAAGTGGGAAGGGGCCTCAGGGTGCTCCAGGGCCATGTCTTCTCTCTGCGCAGGGCAGAGGCCCCACTCCATGGCTGGACAGAAAGTGCTGGTCGCCCTGCGAGCTCCCAGAGGAGCCACTCCAGGACACACGGCTTGCTTGCAGACACTCTTCTAGCCCTCTGGGCTCAACCAGGGACACACTGGCTGCTATCAAGAACATGCCGAACCTGACAGAAAATTGTCAGCGCCGTTTTCGTCTGCCTTCTGTTCCCCTGCAAAAATAGTCACCGAAGAATGTAAGCGGCTGGCTGCTGAATGTAAACAACTGCGACTGTCTCTCTCTTCCACCAGCGTGTGCCAGTTGGGGGCCAGTCAGACCTGCCTTGGCCTCGCTTTGCAAGGCTGAGCACGGCAGCTGCGTTTTCAGACTTCTGCACTCTGGGAAATCCTGTCCACCTGGATGGATCCTCTGCTGGGCGTGGGGTTATACGGGGAGTTGTCCCCGTATAAACGGGACACTGGCTGCTCTTCTACAAGCGGAGAGGATGCAGTCTCCCTGGGCAGGCCTCCCAGAAGAAATGGGGCTGGCGCACGAGCCGTCTCCCGCTCGTGCCCATGGGGTTGGGCAGGTGACTGGGTGCTGGGCTGGGTCTCGCCAGCCCTCACCTGGCTGCCAGCCTCTGCTGCAGCCTCTGCCATGGTGGCCTGTGGCCCACCCACCTGGTCTTCACCTTGGCATTTGCCTCTTGCTTGCAGTGTCTGCCAAAGGGACTTGGCAGGTAAATATTTGTGCAGGACCTGAGAGCTGGCAGTGCCGTCCCCTTCGCAGGCCAGGCCTGTTGTGGCAGAGCGCCCTCAGAAACGGCAGCTGTGGGGTGCAGTTTCCTGGAGACACACGCCAAATCCAAAGTATGGGGGGGCAGGCATGCTTCCCATTGTACAACTGGCATCATTTCTCCTTGCAGCTAACGCTCTCATGCAGTGCACACCTTAGTTCAAACTTGGTGGGGCCACGAGGTCGGTGTGGGAGGTGGATCTGAGGTGCAGTTCAGCTCACATGTCTGTCTCTGCATGTCTTCTGGCCAGGCCTTCCCAGCGAGATGTGCTGAGCCGGGCTCCCATGCAGGGATGCTTGGGGCCTCCCCGCCTGCGACGAGCAGGGAAGGCACAGCGGAGCAGGCAAAGGGGAGGACGTCGTGCAGACCCTCGACGAGTCTGCAAGCGCGCCCTCCGTGCTGCCACGGGGGCCGCTGCATCCCGCAGCTTGATTTGTGCTCCAAGGCAGTGCAGCGCCACATCCCCGGGTTTTTTGAGGCGAAGGCAGAGACTCGGCCCCTGCGCACGTAAGACCCCTCTGGCGGGGGCGCCACCATTCCGGCTGTGGCTCTGGGGCCAGCCGGAGCGGAGCAGGCCCTGCTGTCAGCTGTGTGCGTGCACCCTGCAGGCGGGGCTTGTGGTGCAGGGCAGCCTCTTTGCTCCCTGCAGGCGGCGACAGGGGGCCACGTGGCCCAGGAATGGGGTCCCTCGCCTGGAGAGGCGTATGCAAGGCACCGAGAGTCAGTGTGTGCTCCTCCTGCCTGGCAAATATGCCTCTGCCTCTAGCCTGCTCTGTCTTGGAGGGAGGGTCCAGTGCAAACACCCCCTTTCTCAATCAGCGCTAGATTTTGGCCTGCCAGGCACTGGAGAGGTTCACTCTGCCCCCTCGGCATGTCCTCTCACATCTGGCACCCCCGTCCCAAAACACATCCCCCACCCACCCCCCCCCCCCCCAACAAATCAGTCCGCTTGCCAATTGCCGCCTGGCAAGAGCAGCAGGACGCCTGCAAGGCTCCTCCCCGGCTTTGTTGGATCACAGATGTGGAAGGCGCCTTGGAGGGCCCTAGTCCAAGCCCCCCAAGGAGCCCCTGCTCAAATCCCCTCCAACAAGTCTGGCCGCCGCCCCGCAAAGTGCTTGTGCCACGGCTCTTGCCAGCAGAACCGTTTGGCTTCCCGGCAGGCTGCACAGCCACTGGCCCACGGGGGGCAAGGAGCCCCCGTCACGTGAACGGCAGTCTCCCAGGCGCTTGGAGGCCACCCTGCCATGTCCCTCGCCCCACCCGCCAAGGGCCGGATTCCGGCCCCCTCCCTCCCGGCCGCTCTCCGCCAGCCACGTCTTCCTCCAAAGGGATGCCTCTCTCGGCGGGCCGCCGCAGTGCTCAGCGGGCAGCGCCTCTGTCCCCGGCCAGGCGGTGGCTTTCATCGGAGGGCCTCCCCCTTCCTTGAGCCTGTGTCCACTGCAGGCTCCCGTTCGGATGATTGTCAATTCAAGCAGCCAGGCCCCGATGCCCAAGACACACTCTAATTTTTGGTAACTGAACACGCAACTTTACATGTATGCATCGCTGTTGATACTAACAAAAAGCAGGCTGGATAGTGCAACTATTAGCAATCTACAGCTGGCTGCAACATTGGACTCGATGGCTCATTCTCAAGCTGGGGACAGGGACCAGGCGGGCACTGCGAGGTTCCGTCCCAGAACTGGTACTCTTCCACATTCTTATTAATGATTTGGATGAGGAAGTACAGGGAACAATAATTAAATTTGCAGGCAACACAACATTGGGTGGAACAGCAAATACCCTGGAAGACAGAGATAAGATCCAGGGTGATCTCGATAGGTCAGAACGCTGGGCAAAGAACAGGATGGAATTCAGTTGGGACAAATGCCAAGTGCTCCACTGCAAAACGAGAAACCAAAAGTTACAAGATGGGCACTACGTGGGTCAACAATGCTGTAAGGAAGAAGGAACTTGGAATTGTTGGAGATCACAGGCTGAAGATGAGTCAACAACACCTCCCCACAAGCCGTGTGGGGCAAGGGCACACAGCCTTCTGGGTCAGCTTGGGCACATCCCGGCCTCCATCCCCTGGTCCCTCCTGCTCTGCTTGCAGCAGCAGGCGCTGCCCTCACGCTCTGTTCGAGTTCCCAACGCCCTTGCAAAGGCTGCCTTCTTTCCAATCCCAAAGCCAAACACAGTGCCGAGATCTGGCTAATTGACTGCTGGCCACCAATTCGAAAAAGTTCTCCAGCCAGAGTGGAGTCAGTGACTGCCTCAGAGCGACGGGGGGGGGGGGGGGGGAGCCCTCTGGGCACCTTGGCTGCCTGGGCACTGAAACACCCCGAAACAGGAGGACGAGCGCAGCCAAGGCCCACATGCTTCCATCAACAGTTGGGGTGGGAACCGCAGATGCAGCTGAACTCAGCTTTCATTGTCTCTCGCCCTCTAACAAGGCACAGCTTCAAAATCTTTTCTTTTAATCTGCCCTCAGCAAGGATGTGAAGCCAAAAGTCTGGCTCCAGTGCCCTGAGAAACAAAAGTGTGTGCGTGCGGGGGGGGGGGTACTTGGGCCAGAGCGTTTGGTGGTGTTCAGAACCTCCCTGTCTTGCATTTCAGACATTCAGGAGGGAGGGCACATCTTCTCCCCCTCTCGCAAAGACCTCAACTGATTCGTTTGGGGCTGGGATGCTGGACAAGCTGCACCTGGCTGGGTAATGACCCCCCGCTTCTTTTGAGAGAGATGGCATGCGACACAAAGCACCATCACCCCCAGCAAGCTGGCCCAGGAGGCTCTTCGGTCAGCCCGATTCCGGTCCGGTCAGAGCAAGCAACGGGCCCGGTCCTGGTGGGAATCCACTGCTGTTCCCCTTCTGAGCCTGCAAGAGCAAGTGTTTCTCTCTGCAAACAGCACCCTCACTCCTTTGGGGATGTCTGTCACTGCTTGGGGGGGGGAGCAAAGAAGCCCCGGGGAGGCCAGAGAGCACTAGGGAAGCCCGCCCCTCGGCCTTGCAGCCCTTGCACGGCCAGGCCACCAACGCGCCCGCATCACGGACGGAGGCTCGCCTGCCTCGCCTCGGGACGGGCCCTCCCACGGGGGCCCGGGCAGCTCCCCCAGCCGCGGGATTGGCGCGTCGCTGCAGGCGCCGAAGGCCCCAGCGCGGGAGGCGGCTGGCCGCGCGGCGCCGACGGGGGCTCCCTCGGGCACCGAGGCCCGCGTCCGCCTGGCCTTCCTGGGCGCGGCGCGGGGGGCGAGGCGGCGCTGGTCCGCCGCTTCCTGCAGTGCGCCTTCGACGCGCGCCGCCGCCGCGCTGCACGTGCCGGACCCGGAGCCGCCGGACGCCAGCGGCAGCTGCAGCTTCCCGGCCACACGGCGCCTCTGCATCCGCCGCGGCGACGCCTTCGTGCTGGCCCGCTCGCCGCACGAGCCGGGCTCGTCCGACGAGGCGCGGCGGCTGCGCGACGCGATCCTGGAGGCCAGGCCGGGCGCGGCCCAGCTCGGGGTGGTGGCCAGCAAGAGCCCCCCGGGGGTCGGCTCCGCGGCGGCGGCGGCGCGCCCGGCACGTCGAGGCGTCGGCCGAGCGGGGCGCAACGCGGCGGGGCTCTTCCGAGGGCTGCGGCGCCGCTCCCGCCCCGAGGCTCTGGCACGGAACCTGCTAGGCGGAGCGAGGCCGAGGCGCGCCGGGCGAGGGCGGCTGCCGCCGTCACAAGAGGCCGAAGCCGCGGCGAGCGCCCCAAGAGAGGCAGCCGCGCTCGGGCCCCTGGCCTCGCCCCGGGAGGGAGGCGGGACGTTTCCCCCGCACGCCGCAGGAGGCCTCCCGGGCGGGGACCGTGCGGGCGGGGCGCGCGCCGGGGCGAGGGCGAGCCCCCCGTGCCGCCTGCTCCCGGAGTGCCTCCCAACCGCTGCGCCGGGCCGGGCTTCCCGAAACCCTGCGGGGCCCTCGCCCAGGAGGCCGATGAGCTTGGCGAAGCTGGCACGAGGATCCGTCTCCTCGGCCTCGAGCGCGGGTCCGCGGGGCGTCCGTCTGGGGCGGCCTGCCGGCGCCTGCGGGATCTGCTTGGGAGGGGCAAGCCCGGCCTGACTGCCGATTGTTCTTAGAAAGACCGCTCCGAAGCTGGGGGGGTGCGGTATCTTTTTGTGGCCGGCACCTTGATGGAGAGCAAATGGCGGGTGGGGTGGAGCTGCTGCGAAGCGCTCGCAGCGGGCAGCGGGGAAGGCCTGGCAGACCTTCACCCGAGCCTGGGGCATCTACCCTTGGCTGGGCTGACAGCCGAGAAGGCAACCGGCTGCCCTCCAGTGCGTTGGGCCACGGCTGCCATCAGCTGCTGCTGCCCCCCTGGACAAACGCTTGGGATGATGGGGATTCTCATCCAAGAGATCTGGGTACCCTCTTGAATACCTGTCTGGAACAATAGGAAGGGCGAGGCTATTTTTCACCTGGGTGGGACAGGAGAGGAGCCAGGAAGCTACCTGGAAAGCAGCATGCAAGCCGAGGGTGCCACTGCGGTGACTGCAGCGAGTCGGCCAGGCTCCCCCCCAAGCAGGGACCACACTGGCACCGTCTCCCTGTCCATGAAGCCTGTGGGTGAGGCACGTCTCCAGCACCCCCCATGCAAAGTGGTGGCACAGCATCCCCTGGGCTGCAGCTTGACCCGACTCCCTACAGGCCGGGTTTTGAAGCCCAGTGCACAAAGGGCGGGGGGCAAGGGGCAGGCCGCGCAGGGGGAACCCGCGGGGGTTCAAGAGCTGGGACAGGCACAGTCAGCAGCACCCTCGGGTGGCACGGGTGCAACGGACAAGCCCCCTGCTCCCAGCCCATCTGGCTGAAGCGGGTCTTGCGCAGGGGGTCCCTCCCCGCCGAGCCAGATGCCAAGACATCCAGCTCGTCCTGCGGCAGGTGCGGGGTCCATCTCGAGCCCCATCCTGTGCCGGCGGTCAGAGGCCCCCAGGCCCACGTGCTCCCGGTACGGCCGCTGCTGGGGGCGGATCGCCCGCTTGCTCCGGAGCCTTGCGAGCGCCACAGCGCGTAGGTGCGCCGCGAGCGCGTGGGTGTCACCGGCTGTTCCCGCCGGCTTCCCCGCCGCCGCGACTGGGGCCGCCGACGGAGCAAGGGCGGCCCTGGCCCAACGCGGCGCCCACGCCAGCCCCTGGCCAGCCGCAGGCGGCGCCCGAGCGGAGCGGAGCGAGGGGTCACGCAGCCCGAGCCGGCGGCGGGCTCGGGCGCTTCCCCGGCGGGCCCG